GGCCCCTGCCCCCGCCGGGCCGCCCCGCCCCTTGCAGCGCCGGGCCGAGGGCTCGGCCGCCCACCCCGAGGCCAAGGCCCCAGCTTGAGCGCGCCACTCACCTAGTGACCCTGGTCAAGTCATCATTCATCTCCGCCGGGCCTCAGTTTACCCCTTATGAAACAGGGCGCGATTTATAAGCCCCCGCGACGCAGGGGATGCCTCTTGTCAGCAAGGCCCCCTTTATACGGTCCACGCTCCTCTTCCAAGGAGCGCTCCCTGGCGAGAGCCAACCCCGCGCCCCCGGCTCCTGCAGGCGCGCCCACGCTCGACCGGCTGCTCCGTGTGCTGGCACCGGGGACACCGGAAAGTTCCAAAGACACCAGGGGTCCTCCTTGGACTGCAGTTCCCGGGGGAAACCGCATCCGACGCGCCTGCCAGACTGCGATAGGCGGCTTCACAGAGAAGGGACAGGGCGGGGGCCACGCAGCGGGAGAGAGACAGACCACCGTGGGCCGGGCTGTTGTCAGCAAAGGGCTCCCGGGTGGGGTGGCTGAGGCAGGAGCGAGCGGACCGGAAGCGCAGAGGCGGAGGTGGCATTCCAGGCGGGGAGGCCAGCAGAGGCGGAGAGGGGGACTGAACAGAGCGGCCCCATCGGAGGGACAGGAGAATGCGTACCGATACCACAGGAGGGACGCCCGGACCCAGTTTGTGAACGACGGGCTTTATTTTGCAGACAGCAGGGAACTATTAAGAATCGTAAACAGGAGAATGGCAGTATCAAGTCTCTTTCAAAAGATGTCCCCGGAGACTTCGTAGAGGTTGGATAGAAAAGGGAGAAACAGGGGACTGGAGTGAGGAAAGGGACCGGCGTTTGTCCAACATCTCCAAGTGTTTTACCTGTGCAACCTCATCAGACTATTTATAACGCACTTACTGTGCTCAGGGCTCCCAGCCGTTGGGAAGACAGGGCTGCAGCCTTGCAGGCAGGCTGGTGAGGCTGGCCGGGATCTAATGGCTAAGAGGAGGAGGGACGGAACTGTAGGTTTCTGTGGGGCAGTGGAAGGAGAGGAAGTCAGTGGTCTAGCCTAGTGTTTCAGGAGCATTAATGGGAGGTGTCAAGGGTAAGAATGGATGCTGGAGTAGAAGTCCCCAGGACGACTCAGAGCGACAGCGAGCTAGCCCGTCCTCATCCACAGGGTATCGCCCAGAAGGGCTTGCTTTGGTTTCCTAGGTCAAGGGCAGAGAAGGTAAAGGCTACAGGGGCAGGGCAAGAGGGGGCTCTGGCACCCCCTAGCCATGGACTGCTGTACCATCTTCCCCTTCAGGGGAGCTGCTTAGCTAACTGCCCATCCTCCCCAGGACGGTCCTTTTCATCAGCAGCTCAGGAATCCATACCTCCGGTTCAACTTCACTGGGACCCTTCCATTTCTAGGAGCAGCCCACCCTCAAGCCTAACCCTGGCCCACAAACAGCATGTGTCTTCATGGGGAGGGGGGCACACCCAGATACCAAGTGAGGGCGGGTAAGAGCACAACAGAAATGCACAACAGAAAGGGCAGTGAGCTGGTGGATCCGGCGCAGGAATGAGGTCCCAGCCCAGCCATATCTTTCAAGACAAACAGGAAGTCGTTTGTTTATTAAATTGGGAAATCTTCCTAGTTTTAAATTTGGTCACTAATTCAGATTAAAAGAGCCGAGCCCAGCAAGTCCAGGGACCCCATGCAGCTAGCTCACTGGCTGCCAGCTTGTGATCCTTTCCATTCCTTCCTCCTCCCTGACCCCAAACTGAAGATAAGAATCTGAAACCTGGACTAGTGCCCAAAGGAACAGGTACCTGGGAGCTCGTGCATGTTTTAAAACTCCCAGCCATAAGAAAAAGATGGCATCTTTCACGTGACTTGGAATGGAAATTTCTGCTGCCTAAATCTCTTTCTAAACTTTACGTTGCAGGTAATAGAATTGGTCTTCACTGAGCACTTACTATGTGCTTGGCCCAGTTCTGACAGTTTTACCTGGGTTAACCCATTTTACGGATGAGGAAACTGAAGCTCGAAGAAGTAACTAGCCCAAGGACTCCCAGCTAGAAGTGGAAGAGCAAGGACTCAAACCCAGGTCGTCTCCTGGCTGCAGAGACGGAAGTCTTAACCAGAGAAGACGAAACTTCCAGCACCCTTGTGTGTGCACTTCCTTCTGACTGACCCCTCACTGTTGATGGTGAAGGGAGGGGTGGCTCAGTCCAAGCATAGTCATGGCCTCAGGTGTGGATGAGTCCTTGCTCCCTGCCCTATGGACCACGCCTACAGGGTATGCAGGAAGAACAGTGCCTCTGACTACATTTCCACGGTGCAGAAAAGCGGCTGAGGTGGACCTATTAAATGACTTCATCAAGTCCCCACAGCTGGTCACTGCCAGAAGGAGCAGGAACAAACAGACAGCATTATCCATTCTCCCAGTCAACAAACAGCCTTTGAGCCCAGCTATGCCTGGCACCAGCTCTGCAATCAAGGCCCATATTTACAACACAGGTTTTAAGTGTAACTGTAACTTTTAGATGAATGTTCTAGGGGGACAGGAGGGACCCTGTAGTCTTTTATATGCTCAGGTGTTCAGTGCTTCCATGGCAGGCAGAGGGCAGAAAGAAGAAAAGAGGCTGCTGGGAGAAATAATTTTCCTGGATGAAAGAGATCAGAAAGGGCATTCACTTAGGAACTCAAGACTGCAAGGTAAAGTGAGCACATGGTCGACTCAACTCTTACCAACCTCTGTGTAGAAGAAACCAAGTTCTTTGTTGTTTTTTTTCCACGTTCTTTTAAGTGGGATAAAAGAAAGTGGATCTGCCCCACCTTCTGTTATACACAAGTATAAATTTAAGATGGGTTAAATGTGAAAAGCACTAATTGGATATTTTTTAGAAGAGAATTTTAAGAGAATATTTTTATTACCTCAGACAGTGGACGGATTTTATAAAGGTGGAACAATAAGTGCAGGATAGAAATGAAAATTGATCAATTTTAGCACATGGAAATTAAAAACTTAGAATTATAAAAAGACATTTAAAATTTGAAAAGACAAGCCCTAGACAGGAAAACAGTATTTGGAATACATGATCTACAAAGGACTAGCTTCCAGCATATATATATATAAGAACTTCTGCAATGAAGGAGAAAAGACAACCCCGTAGAAAAATGGGCAAAAAAATGGGGACAGGCAACTGACAGGAGTGGAAACTCAAAGAGCCAACGAACATATCACCAGATGCCTACCTTCACCACTAAAGAGGAAATGCCAAGTGAAATCACAGTAAGATGCCACTTCACCCCACTAAGAGAGACAAAATGAAATCTCACTACCCAGTGTCAGGGTCACTGCCAGTGACGGTGTAAACTAGTTCAGCCACTTAGGGTTTTTTGCTTTCATTTTCTACATTTTTTTGAATTGAGGCATCACACACACGTTCGATAGAGTGCAATGACTGCACAAACCTTAAATGTAGAGCCCGATGATTTTTGTTACCTACCTACACACCCGGGTAACCACCACCCATAGGTCCCATCATGCCGCTTCCCACTTGATGTCCTCTCCTTGAGGTAACTAGTATTCACTGCTTTCCTCGCAGGTTCATTTTGTGTGGTCTAGAACGTCACCTGAGCTCTTGGCTTCTTTCTTTCGATGTGCTATCTGTGAGATTCATCCATGTTGTTGTGTGTAGCAGTCATTTGCTTTTTTTTTTTGCCAAGTAGCGTTCCATCACATGGGTATACCATCATTTCTTTCTCCATTCTCCCGATGATTGGCATCTGAATTGTTTCCATTTGGGGGACTATTACGAATAAACGTGCTGTGAACATTCTTGACGTTCAGCTCACAGCTACTCTGGTGAGTGATTGGGCAATATTGTCAAGTTGCAGAAGTATATACTCTGTGACCCAGCAATTCTCCTCCTCGGAAAGCATATTAGAAAAACTGTCCCATGTGTTAAAAGAGGCATGAGTAAGTAAATGATATAAATATCTAACCACTATGCTGCACATTTGGACCTACTGTAATATTTGAATGTCACCTGTCATTAAAAAAAAAAAAGAAGAGGCTGTGTTATTTATAATTGCAAAAATAAAATGAAATAACCGGAAGGGCCCACCAACAGGAGAGTGAGTGAGTCGGTAAATTTTGGTACAGTCATGTATAGAAATACAAGTAAATAAAATAAAGCTAATTGTATCAACATGGATGACTCAGAAACATTGAGTGGAAAAAGCAGGATTTAGGAGAATACAGACTCTACGATGCCATTTATATAAAATTTTAAAACACGCAGTATACTACTGTGATGAAGTACAATACTATGTATTGGTTAGGAACACGTCTGTACGTCATAGTAGTACAAAAAACGCATGGCCCAGATAGCAAATCGAGCACAGCGATCTACTATAGGCAGGGGCGAAGGGGGAAGAGCTTGGGAAATGAGTACAGGGGTAGCGACTGAATTCATGAGTGCTCTCGTTTTTCAGCCAGGCGATCAGCACACAAGTGGTAGCTATTTCATTCTTAGACGTGACATATATCGAAATAACTTTTAAAAACATAAAGGGATGGAGATAAATAAGATAAGTGGTGTTCTGGTACGTGTTTGACAACTGGCTGTAGGGAGGAGGGCGTGCGTAGCAGTCAGTCACCTGTTTCTGTGGCATAAATGTTCCCGCCATAGCTGATTTCAAACTACCAATATGACACCAACCAGCTCACAGAATTCCTGAAAGTGTAACAGTCAGCACTCACAAACCGATATAAGCTGGCTCCAACACACCATTGTCACTGAAGGGGGCAGCTAGGTACTCTGAAGGCCAGAGCCGGAGGCCCAGACTCCCTCCCTCTGAGGGCTTTTCCAACACCCTCGGAGATAGATCGAAAGCTGGATTGTATTGACTTACTGCTGTTAAGTTACCCCTAAACCAAGCAGTTTAAAACAACAAATGTTTGTTATCTCACACAGCTTCTGAGAGTCAGGAAAACATGAATTAGCTGGCTGGCTGTGGCACAGGATCTCTTCCGAGGTTGCCGTCAAGCTGTCAGACAGAGCTGCAGTCACCGGTAGCAAGTGATGAGACAGAGGGAGAGACAGAGACAGGGAGAGAGAAAGACAGAGACAGAGAATAAGATGGAGATGCAGTGACTTTTATAACCTAATCTCGGAAATGACACACCAGCCCTCTGAGGGACCCTGTTATCCACACAGCACCACTGATACAATGCCCAGGGGGTGTGACAACGATGGCGAGCAGCAGGCATCACTGCGGGCCGTCTTGGAGGTCGGCTCCCACACGGATCGCAGTTGAAGGGGAGCACTGGTTGCCCTGAGATGCTAGTAAAGAGGCTGGAGGGTGCCTAGAGTCTCCGCACGAGGAGACATGGGAGCACGGAAGGCCAAGCCCTGTGTGCAGCTCAGGAACCTGAGAAGTTTATGGGTTTACTGGAAAGCATGCAGCTATTCTTGTCGGGAGCCCAGGCTTTCAGTCTCACCTTGGTCCTAGTGATAAGGACCAGGCCTCACCTCTCCCTGCCTTCCCTCTGCTGGTG